AGGAGCACACAGACTGAACACATACATTCCAGCATGGTGCCCAGAGGGCAGCTCATCGGCCACAGAGGGGCTCAGTGCCACAAAGGGACACCAAGCCCAGTCTGGGGGCAGAGGAGGTGTCCATGAAGGCTTCCCCAGGAGGCAGCATAAGAACTCAGTCCTGAGGATGAGTGGGCGTTACCTGGGCACAAGAGAGAGCGCGAAGCGTGAGCAGATGTGAGGGGTACGCAAGAACATGTGCTGGTAGGGGCGGAGGGGGGCTGCCCACTTGACAACTCTAGCCAGGTCAGCTCAGGTGACCTCATCTCTCAGAGCCTCACTTTCCTCCCCTATAAAACTGGAGGAAAGCGAGACTTACCTCGTAGGGTTGCTGTGAGGTTCACACGAGATTTTGACACAGCAGAGAACCACTGAGCCCAGTGCTTGGCACATAGGAGACCTCGGTAAGGGTGAGCCATGATTAGTATCACATACAGTTTCATTGTGCTAGAGTGAAATGCACAAGGAGGGGAGCGGCAGGAGGAGCAGAGGTGGGCAGGGACCAGCTCAGGGACAGTTTTGCACACCAGGCCAAGCCTGGACTTGACCCTGAATGCCTACAGTCCTTTCCCCTCTCTACTGAGACCCAGGAGCCTGAGGACATTCCCACGTGCAACATACTTCAGGGACACATTCAAAATCTAGACGACTGACACCTTCTCTTAAAAGCAAATCTTTGTTTATGAGAACTATGGTAATCCCTATTTAACACTTAAGGCTACATCAGCATGGACACTCACTAGGGTATATGATAAGATCATTTGTGGTTATGAAGATTTTTCAGGTGCCCCTGCCTGTAACTCTGCCCCTCTCCTTCACTCCAAACAAATGAGACCGGTACAATTTGGAAAACGTTGAATTGGCTACGATTTGTTTTAAAAAGGTAATAAATCATCCGAAAGCATAATAGAAAATGCTCAGTAAATGTTAGCTACTATTATTAGTATTTATATTAGTAGAAATAGTAGTACTAATAGTAGCAGTAGGAGTAGGAGTAGTAACAACTTACTTTCAGCCCACGTCAGAGGCTACAGCGTGGTTACAGAACCACTGCGGTTGGTGGGTTTTAAGCAGGGGAGTGGCAAGATCATATTTGCATTTCAGATCACTCTGGCATCAGGATTGGAGGATGGATTTGCTGGAGGCAAGACTGTAGGCAGGGAGACCAGTTAGAAGAAGGCCCTTGCAATTTTCTAGTGAAAAGATAACAAAGGCGGGAGCAAGGCAGTGGTAGAGATAGAAGGAGAGCGGCAAGATTTGCTAATACTTAGGATGTAAAATTAGCAGAATTTGGTGACTGACAGAAGTGGGAATGAAGGCTGGGAAGAGGGAGGAGTCTAGGATCCCCAAATCAGTGGCCTGGCTTGTAGGACTATCTCTGAGATGGGATGTAAGACAAGAGGAGGAGAGGCTGGAGGGACTGACCATGACATCTGGATTTGGATATGCTAGGTTTGAGATTCCTGTGGTCCAGGCAACCAGCTCCACCAGTCAGAAGCTGAGAACTCAGACCAAAGTCAAGGTTATAGCCTAGTATTAGGGAGTCCTCAGGTAGTGGTTATAATCAAGGAAGTATAGGAATCTCCCCAGGGAGTATGAGTAGTTGAGAGCAGCTACTAGACAACCCAGGAAGGAAGGGAAAACAAGAAACCCTCAAGAGAGAAGGGAGAATCAGCAAAGTCTCAAAACCAGGTATCACGATCAAACACTGCTGAGGAGTCCAGTGATAAAGGGACTGAAACTAGCAGATTATCAGAAACTGTCACAAGGGCCCCTTAGAGTCCATCAAAGTCCCATGGATCAAAACACAAGCGAATGCCTACAGCAGCTAGGCTCCACAGGTGTCTTGACACTTGCAGCCCTCCCAGACACCAGTTCAGTCCCATTTTGGAGAGTCACTAGTCTAATACTGCATGCATATCCTTCGCAACTCTAAGAAAACAAGAGTGCAGCCTCCAAGAAAAGTGGCTCCAGGCTCCCAGATCAATGCTGGGCAGAAAGAGGGCTTTGTGGGAACTGAACAAACTGGGAAGTGCATCCCCTGTCTGAGGGCGTAACTGCTCATCTCCAAACGGGGCCAGCAGGGACTGCAGGCCTCAGATGGCTAGATCTGACTTTGTTTCTTTTCTTTTCTTTTTTTTTTTTTAAGAGACGGAATCTCGCTATGCTGCCCAGGCTGGAGTGCAGTGGCTATTCACAGGTGTGAACCCACTACTAATCAGCACGGGAGTTTTGACCTGCTCCGTTTCTGACCTGGGCTGGTTCACCCCTCCTTAGGCAACCTGGTGGTCCCCCACTCCCGGGAGGTCACCATATTGATGCCGAACTTAGTGTGGACACCTGACTGGTGTAGGGCAACAGCCCACAACTCCTGGATTCAAGAGATCCTCTGGCCTCGGCCTCCCGAGGAGCTGGGACTACAGGCACGTGCCACTGCGCCCGGCCAGATTTGACTTTCGAGAAAAGACAAAATCAAAATTTTAACATGAAACCTCCTGTTTTTGGAAACCTGCCTGGCACGAGGGCAGGCAGAACTCATATCTACAAATTTTCCAAATTCTGTGGATGCTACCCCTAAATGTTTCTCAAATTATTCTCAATGTCTGTTACCACTATCCCAATTCACCTAACATTGGTTTAGGTGACAGTCATACAAAAAATTCTTTAAAAACATCACAAACTTACTATATTCTTGTCAAAAAAAAGCCCCAATCCCTGCATTATACATGTAATCCCCTATATTTCTATTTTTTTGAGACAGAGTCTTGCTCTGTTGCCAGGCTGGAGTGCAGTGGCACGATTTTGGCTCACTGCAACCTCCGCCTGGGTTCAAGCGATTTTCCTGCCTCAGCCTCCCGAGTAGCTGGGACTATAGGCGTGTGCCACCCCACCCAGCTAATTTTTGTATTTTTAGTAGAGATAGGGTTTCACCATGTTGGCCAGGATAGTCTCAATCTTTTGACCTCATGATCTGCCCGCCTCAGCCTTCCAAAGTGCTAGGATTACAAGTGTAATCCCCTATATTTCTTTTTTTTATTTTTTTTTTGAGACAAAGTTTCGCTCTTGTCCCGCAGGCTGGAGTGCAATGGCGCAATCTCGGCTCACTGCAACTTCCGCCTCCTGAGTAGCTGGGATTACAGGCACGTGCCACCACACCTGGCAAATTTTTGTATTTTTAGTAGAGATGGGGTTTCACCATGTTGGCCAGGCTGGTCTCGAATTCCTGACCTCAGGTGATCTGCCCACCTCGGTCTCCCAAAGTGCTGGGATTACGGGCCTGAGTCACCACACTCAGCCAATCCCCTATATTTCTAAGAAAAACTTTCTAACCAAGACTGGAAACCTGCAGCTATAAAAGAAAATAAGGTTAGGTGTGGTGGCTCATGCTTGTAATCCCAACACTTTGGGAAGCTGAAGTGGGAGGATTGCTTGAACCCAGGAGTTTGAGACCAGCCTAGGCAATATAGTGGGAAAAAAAAAAGTCAGGTGTGGTGGTGCATGCCTGTAGACCCAGCTACTCAGGAGGCTGAGGCAGAAGGATCACTTGAGACCAGGAAGTCAAGGCTGCAGTGAGCTGTGATCACGCCACTGCACTCCAGCCTGGTTAACAGAACTTGGGTAACCCTGTCTCTAAAAAAGAAAAGGAACATTTTTGACTACTAAAAAATATTTTGTCTGGAAAGAGGTAATATAAACAAATTCAACAGATAAATATTCATAATGCAGATGACAGGCAAAGGGCTAATTTTTATAATATATAAATTTTCTTACAAATTGACAAGAAAAGATGAAACAGAAAAATTGAATATTCAATTAAACGAACAGATCCAGATGGCCAAAAGAGTATGAAAAACTGCTCCACGCCGGGCGCGGTGGCTCAAGCCTGTAATCCCAGCGCTTTGGGAGGCCGAGGCGGGTGGATCACGAGGTCAAGAGATCGAGACCATCCTGGTCAACATGGTGAAACCCCGTCTCTACTAAAAATACAAAAATTAGCTGGGCATGGTGGCGCACGCCTGTAGTCCCAGCTACTTGGGAGGCTGAGGCAGGAGAATTGCTTGAGCCCGGGAGGCAGAGGTTGCAGTGAGCCGAGATCGCACCATTGCACTCCAGCCTGGGTAACGAGCGAAACTCCGTCTCAAAAAAAAAAAACAAAAAACAAACAAAAAAAAAAGCACAAAAACTGCTCCAAATGTAGACAAATGCAAATTAAAGTATAAATGAGAAATCATTTTATTCCCATTAGACTGACAAAAATGAACGTAGTTCTAACAGATACTGATATCATGGGTATGTGGAAAAGTGAACTCATAACAATCTAACAATATCTACAAATATTTAAAATACAGGTATCCTTTAAAACCCAGGGACTTGGCATGGCGGCTCATGCCTCTAATCCTAGCACTATGGGAGGCTGAGGTGGAAGGATCACTTGAGCCCAGGAGTTTGAGATCAGCCTGAGAAACACAGCAGATCCCTGTCTCTACAAAAAATTTAAAAAAAATTTTTCCTGGGTTTAAGTGATTTTCCTGCCTCATCAGGAAAATCCCAGCACTTTGGGAGGCGGAGGGAGCGGATAACCTGAGGTTAGAAGTTTGAGACCTGCCTGACCAACAAGGTGAAACTCCCACCTCTACTAAATACAAAAAATTAGCCAGGCAAGGTGGCGCATGCCTGTAGTCCCAGCTACTTGAGAGGCTGAGGCAGGAGAATTGCTTGAGCCCGGGAGGCAGAGGTTGCAGTGAGCCGAGATTGCACCACTGCACTCAGAAAAATTAAGATGACTTGTTAAATGAATAGAGGGATGAATCTATGGGCAGATGTGTAAAATGTTAAAAGAAATCTAAGTGAAGGTATGTGGATGTTCACTGTACAATCATTTCAATTTTTCTTTATGTTTAAAATGTATTATAGTATAGGCTAGCTGTGGGCGCAGTGTGGCAATGCTTCACGGGTGGTCGATGCAGGGGGGCAGCTTCGGGGCCTGCGATCGTGAAGAGGGTGACGGGGTGGGGGCTATGGCTGCACCACCGGCTAATCGACACTCCTGCCAAGGGTCCGGAACCCAAATATGATGAATCTGATGTTCCAGCAGAACTCCAGGTGTTAAAAGAACCTCTACAACAGCCAACCTTCCCTTTTGCAGTTGCAAACCAACTCTTGCTTGTTTCTTTGCTGGAGCACTTGAGCCATGTGCATGAACCAAACTCACTTCGTTCAGGACAGGTGTTAAGTTACTTTGCCAGACCTCTGTCAAAATGGGGCTGCTGTCTTCTTTCACTTGTAGTGATAAGTTTAGCTCACTGAGACATCACAACAGAGCTGTTACTCACTTAATGAGGTCCGTTAAGAAAGAGTCCCTCAGGATCCTTGTGAGGATATTTCTTTTTTTTTTTTTTTTTGAGACGGAGTTTTACTCTTGTTACCCAGGCTGGAGTGCAATGGCGCGATCTCGGCTCACCGCAACCTCCACCTCCTGGGTTCAGGCAATTCTCCTGCCTCACCCTCCTCCGTAGCTGGGATTACAGGCACGCGCCACCATGCCCAGCTAATGTTTTCATATTTTTAGTAGAGACGGGGTTTCACCATGTTGACCAGGATGGTCTCGATCTCTTGACCTCGTGATCCACCCGCCTCGGCCTCCCAAAGTGCTGGGATTACAGGCTTGAGCCACCGCGCCCGGCGAGGATATTTCTTACATCCAGATATCAGATCAAGGAAAGTAGCCTTTGAAGCACAAAGTTCACGTTACTTAAATGAATTTGAAGAACTTACCATCTTAGGAAAAGATGGATACAGAAAAATTATACAAGGTCAGGAATAACTTAGATGGTCAGTATTATGCAATAAAAAAAACCCCTGATTAAGGGTGCAAATGAAACAGATTGCATGAAGGTCCTACGGGAAGTGAAGGTGCTGGCAGGTCTTCAGCACCCTACTATCGCTGTCTATCACAGCGCGTGGATAGAGCACGTTCACATGATCCAGCCAGAGGCAGACAGGGCTGCCACTGAGTTGCCATCTCTGAAAGTGCTCTCCGACCAAGAAGAGGACAGAGACCGACATGAGGTTAAAAATGATGAAAGTAGCAGCTCATCCATTATCTTTGCTGAGCCCACACCAGAAAAAAACTCTTTGGAGAATCTGACACTGAAAATCAAATAACAAGCTGGCGAACTACACCACCAATTTAATCGTAAGAGACACTGCTGAATTTCAGTCAATCCTGGAGCTTCAGGAAAATGGCTTGGCTGGTTTGTCTACCAGTTTGATTGTGGAACAGGAGCTGCCGCTCAGGCATAATTCCCACCTAGAGGTGAGTTTCACAGCCACCAAGGAATCTTCCAAAGAACATATCAACTTTTTGGGTCAGACAGAGGTGCAGTACCACCTGATGCTGCACGTCCAGATGCAGCCGTGTGAGCTCTCACTGTGGGACTGGATAGACGAGAGAAACAAGCGGGGCTGGGAGTGTGTGGACGAGTCTGCCTGTCCTTATGTCATGGCCAGTGTTGCAACAAAAATTTTTTAAGCATTGGTAGGTGTGTTTTACCTACGTAACATGGGAATTGTGCACAGAGATCAGAAGCCAAGAAGTATTTTTCTTCATGGCCCTGATCAGCAGGTAAAAATAGGAGACTCTGGTCTGACCTGCAGAGACATCCTACAGAACACAGACTGGACCAATAGAAACAGGAAGCGAACACCAACACATAGGTCCAGAGTGGGTACCTGTCCGTGCGCTTCACCCAAACATTCAGAAGCATCTGAGTATGATGCCACGTCAGATATGTACCGCTTGGATGTGATCCTGCTAGAGCTCTTTCAGCCGTTTGGAACAGAAATGGAGCATGCAGAAGTTCTAACAGGTTTAAGAACTGGTCAGTCACCAGAATCCCTCAGTAAAAGGTGTCCAGTGCAAGCGAAGTATATACAGCACTTAACGGGGAGGAACTCATTGCGGAGACCATCTGCTATTCAGCTGCTGCAGAGTGAACTTTTCCAAAATTCTGGAAGTGTTAGCCTCACCTTACAGATGAAGATAATGGAACAAGAAAAAGAAACTGCAGAACTAAAGAAGGGGCTAAACCTTTCTCAAGACAAAGGGGTGAGGGATGACAGAAAGGATGGGGGCATACATGTCTAGCCTTCCTCAGGCTGTATCTGTAAGATGAAAGTGGACTTTAACTTAAGGTAGTTAACTGGAATGTAAATTTTTCATCTTTATTAGGGTATAGTTGGTATAATTCTTAGTTCTATTTAGTAAGGCTTTACAAGACTTATTAAAGACAAGCTGCTGCTCCTTCCCTTCCTGCCCCACAAGCTCCTTTTCCTAAATTTCCTACCTAAATATTACCATATGCCTAGTCTCTGAAACTTTTAAAAAACTTAGACCTCATCCTTAATTATTTTTTCCTTTCAACTCTGTTGACCTTCTCTCTGGTCTTCCTCTAGAAGGTTCTACCGCAGAAATTGACGTGTGCTCCCTGCCCCTGTCACTGCCCAAGCCCAGGCCTGCACACTCACCGGACTGTGCAGTTTTGACAGCCGCCAGTCTTCCTGCCTCTTTCACACTGCTGCTGAAGTTAATTATTGGAAGGATGCCTGATCATTTCATTCCTTGGCTCGAAACCTTCTGCTGCCTCTAAGCTTTTAGCTGTCAACTTCTTAACAGTGTGCAACTTCCAATGTTTTTTTTGTTTGTTTGTTTTGAGACAGCGTTTCGCTCTTGTTACCCAGGCTGGAGTGCAATGGCGTGATCTCGGCTCACTGCAACCTCTGCCTCCTGGGTTCAGGCAATTCTCCTGCCTCAGCCTCCTGAGTAGCTGGGATTACAGGCACGCGCCACCATGCCCAGCTGATTTTTTGTATTTTTAGTAGAGACGGGGTTTTACCATGTTGACCAGGATGGTCTCGATCTCTTGACCTCGTGATCCACCCGCCTCGGCCTCCCAAAGGGCTGGGATTACAGGCGTGAGCCACCGGGCCCGGCCACTTTCAACGTTTTTATCTATTCTCTCTGCCTTCAACTTAGCATCATTCCAAAACCACACCCTTCCAAAGCTTTGTACTCCTCACCCCCATGATCTCAAGGCAGCTCATATCTCTTTCCCGACTTTGCCCTGCACTGTTCCCTGGTACTTCCTCCTTTATTACAGCATTCAACTCCAAAGCCAATCTGTATATCCCTCAGAGGCAGCGATCTGATGAATTGGCTTTTGAATCCCAGAAAGGGTCTGCCATGGAGTTGGCAGTCCTCATGGTAGATGGCACATGATTTTGCTGCATTTTAAATAAATGAAAACCACGTTACATGATGCTTTCATTGACAACTGGCCTAAATAAAAAAACCTTGACTCTAAAAAAAAAAAATTATTATAGTATAATATTGGGGAAAAAAAATCCCAACAATGTGTTAAAGGTCCATACCAGATGCTTTGGAGAGATTCCCATCATGTAGTCGAGACAGGAGAACATGGATAATGTGAATAACATGTTTTATTATTATTATTTTTGAGACAGAGTCTTGCTGTTGCCCAGGCTGGAATGCAATGGCACAATCTCGGCACGCTGCACCTCTGCCTCCTGGGTTCAAGCAGTTCTCCTGCCTCAGCCTCCCAAGTAGCTGGAATGACAGTTTCCCACAACGATGCCCAGCCAATATTTTGTATTTTTAGTAGAGACGATGTTTCGCTATGTTGGCCAGGTTGGTCTCAAACCCCTGGCCTCAGATGATTCACCACGCCTGGCCAAACATGATTCTTTTTAAATAAAATAATGACTTACAAAATACTCTGATTGATATCAAGAGTTACCTGAGTATAGGGCGGAATGTGGAAATGGAGGTGAGATGCCGATAAGGGGAGGGGTCCACAATAAAAATGATATGGGATAATGATCCCACATGTGTACGCTTATGTAGGTGTGATATAAGGATGCATCCATAAAGAGATAAATAAACCAGACGCAGTAGCTCATGCTTGTAATCCCAGCACTTTGGGAGGCTGAGGTGGGTGGATCACTTGAGGTTGGGAGTTCAAGACCAGCCTGGCCAATGTGGTAAAACCTAAAAATACAAAAATTAGCCAGGCATGGTGGTACACTGCATGCCTGTAATCCCAGTTACTTGGGAGGCTGAGGCAGAACTGCTTGAACCCGGGAGGCGGAGGTTTCAGTGAGCTGGATCGCATCACTGCACTCCAGCCTGGGCAACAGAGCGAGATTAAAAAAAAATAAAAAGGATAAATGAAAAGGTGGCCACCAAAATATTTTTACAACATTTAAATAGGCCGGCCGCAGTGGCTCACGCCTATAATCCCAGCACTTTGGGAGGCCAAGGTGAGTGGATCACCTAAAGTCAGGGGTTTGAGACCAGCCTGGCCAACATTGTGAAACCCCATGTCTACTAAAAATATAAGAAAATTAGCCAGGTGTGGTGGCACATGTCTGTAATCCCAGCTACTTGAGAGGCTGAGGCAGGGGAATGCCTTGAACCTGGGAGACAGAGGTTTCAGTAAGTCGAGATCGTGCCATTGCACTCCAGCCTGGGTGACGGAGTGAGACTCCATTTCTCCCCTCCAAAAAACCCACAAAATCAAACATTTGAACAAGTATCTAACATAAAACATTAAAGCCCTTAATTCCCTTGCTCACAACTACTTGCTTAATTGGGAGCAATTAATCAATCAAACCCACTATTTGATGTACGTTCTTACTGACTTTTTTCTATGCATATAAAACACAGTAATGAGATGACATATGCTATACATACTATTCTGTAGCAGGTGTTTTTACTGTCATGGGTGTTCTCCCGTAACAACACTTTACAGAGCTACCATGCCCTTTTGAATGGCTAAAAGATAGTACACATGAATGCATCATGCTGTGTTTCTTTCTGTAGTGATAAACAAGCTGCCTGAGATTTCTGGCTATTCCAAATGTTACAATAACTGTCCTTGCACAAAAACACTTGTACTTGTAGGCAGGACTAATGGGATAAATTCCTTAAAGTAGAACTTCTGGGTCAAAGAGAATGAACCTTCACACCTTTGATAAGTTCTGCCAAATTGTCCTTTAAACAGGTTGTACAAATTCATGTTCTCACTAACAAGAGTTTGAAAATGCCCTTTTCCCAAGGCTCTAACATCAGAACTTTTCAACGTTCTAAATTTTTGACAATTTGATTACAAAAAAATGTTATCTTCTTTAACTGTGCATTTCTTTGATCACCAATACAGTCAAGGATCTTTCCTTCTTTTATTAGTCATTTGTATTTCTTCTGAGCTGCCTCATTATACCCTTTGCTTATTCTTCCAGGTCCCAATTAACTGTTCTCCCTACCTTCCTACCGCAGACCACCCGCTATATCTGCAGAATTGTCATCAAACACAAATTTGATCTTGTTTTCCCAATTTGCAATTCCACAGTCCACAGAATTAAGTCTTTAATTTGGCACACTCAAGATCCTCCATAGTAACAATGATAATGCAAATACAATAACAACAGAAAACATTTCCTGAATGCATTATCTCATCCATTCCTCAAAACAACCCCTTGAGGTAGTAATTAATATCATCCCACTTTAAAGAAAAAGAAATTGAGGTCCACATCCTCACCCACATTTGGCCTCTTGTCAATCCATCCTTATTTCAGCCATTCCCAGTGACTTATATCACTGTGCCCCTCTGCAGACTTCTGCACTGTGGACATCCTTAGCCTGATGTCCTATTTGTTTGTTGGGTGAACAATTGCTAATCTTTTTAGACCCAGTTCAGGAAAGGCCAAAAGCTAGAGATATGGTATTTCAGAACATATGATCAGATTTGGAAGTCATCTTAAAGAGACATCTAGTTTCATGTTCCACAGACTATGGATTGCAACTCTCATTAGTGGGTCAAGGCCAGGATTTTTATAAAATTGAAATAAAATAGAACAAAAAATATCAGAGGGCAGGGAGCGAAACTATGTATTGTTTCAAGGGCAGGTATTGCTTTGTGAAGGTTGTGTATGCTAGATCCCAAAGTAAAATGTGTTTTTTTTATTGTGGGTAGAGGTCCAACCATCAAGCCACTCTCCACGCCAGAAGCCAGAATGATCTTTCTAAATCTGATTATGTCTGTCTCTTACTTTGAGTTTTTCTGTGTCTTCCTATTTCCATTAAGATTAAAGACAAAACAAAACACCTCACAATGCTGACCCACGGCCCTGCTGGTCTCCTGTTCTTCTGAGGTCATTCCCAAGCCTTTGAAGGTGCTGTTCCCTCTGCCTGAACACTCTCCTTGCCCCTTCCATCTGCGAAGTCCCATTAATCCTTCAAGATTCTGCTCAAATATCACTTTCCCCAAGAAACCTCTGCCTAGGTTTCTTGATCTAGTCTAGGTTGCTAGACTAGGTCAGATCTCCAAATTATATACTCTCCATGCATATTGGACTTTTCCTTATTAGCACTCATCACAACTGTAAATGATATCTAACTGCTGCCTCCTTCCTTAGTCAGTTGGGTTCCTTCTGTGTACTTCTAGCAACTCACTTTGCTTTGCCATTCACAGGAGCCGCTCAGCCAGGGCTTGTGGAAGAATGAGTCTCCTGTGCAAAGCAAGAATCATCTTCTCTCAGAAACCTTTCGTGACTTCAGTCCTTACCTTATACAATGAACTCCTCGTCATCATTGTACTAATGAGGGATACCATTTACAAAGCCAGTGTAATATGCTAGCTACGCAAATGCTTTGCCTAGACAGCTCAGGTTGGTCTCTCACAACCCTGAGAGAAAGGCATTATTTTACATACTCTTACAGCTAGGGAAATGGAAGATTTAGAGTTGTTCACAGTTATATGCAACCACTAAATGGCAGGGCTACCTAACCACCATTACTAACACCTATACTATTGTATTACATTTGTTTGTCTACACATATCTGCTGCTCCTGACTAGATTATATTCTTTGGAGGCAGGGACCGAGGCACAAGCACATAGTAGAGCCTCATTAAATATATTTGCTTAATGAATAAAGATGGATGGGAAAAGGCAAGAGTTCAGAGCAGAGCACTTTATAACATCATAAAGTAACCTAGTTGGAGGGACCTATCCCCTCCCAGGGTAGGAATCTCCTAGAATTCCTAGAGTGTGACTTGCTACACCCCCTGCTATGTAGCCCATTCGCTTGTTAGTTAACTCTAGTTACTAGTTCAATTAGATTCTGTGAGCATTTATTGGGCATCTACTACATACAAAGCTCTATGCTGGGGACTGAAGACAGATGTAAACCTGACTGAAGACAGATGTAAACCTGACTAATGGTAGAGAATCTGAGTGTTTGGTACCAGGGGAAGATGGCCATGTGCCATAAAGGCAGAGCATAATGCAGCCATAACACCAGGCTATACCCAAGGTGTAAAGAAAGAGCCATGAGAGGCCAGAGAAAAAGCAATTAATTCCTATTGGGAAATGAGGGTTGACTTCACAGCATTCCAGCCTGGCTTTTTTTTTTTTTTTTTTTTTTTAGATGGAGTCTTGCTTCATTGCCCAGGCTGGAGTGCAGTGGTGTGATCTCAGCTCACTGCAACTTCTGCCCCCTGGGTTCAAGCAATTCTCCTGCCTCAGTCTCCCAAGTAGCTGGGATTACAGGAGTACGCTACCATGCCTGGCTTTTTTTTTTTCTGTATTTTTAGTAAGACAGGGTTTCAGCATGTTGGCCAGGCTGGTCTCAGACTCCTGGCCTCAAGTGATCTACCTGCCTCAGCCTGTAAGTGCTGGGATTACAGGCATGAGCCACTGCGCCCA